GTTTCCCTGGGATGAATCCCACTTGGTCGTGTTGAATGATTTGTTTTTTAGCTCCCTCCGATGAGTGAGAACATGTGGTATTTCTTTTTCTCTGTCTGACTCGTTTCACTCAATATTATTCTCTCAAGGTCCATCCATGTTGTTGCAAATGGCAGTATTTCATTCGTTTTTATAGCTGAGTAGTATTCCATTGTGTAGATATACCACATTTTCCGTATCCACTCATCTGATGATGGACATTTGGGCTGATTCCAGCTCTTGGCTATTGTGAAGAGTGCTGCGATGAACATTGGGGTACAGGTATACCTTCACACATCTTATAGGCACTGATGAAAAGATTATAGAGGGATGTCCCCAGAGGAGGGGAAATTTGTGCCCTCAAGTGTGGTAGCCCTCGACACCACTTCCAACCACCTATCAGGGGTGATCCAGTTTGAGCCTCTGTGCCCCTCAGATCTTCCAAAAAGATGCCTCCTTCTTAAAGGTCTAGCCCATCGGTTTTAGAAAACTGCTCTAGGAGTAGCTCCCCAGGACCCATATGGGGACCCTTCCCCTTCTCCTCACCTGCAATAGAAGTGGCGGCCAAACTTGGCCCAGTGATCTCGGACGATTTCCTCCACACTCTGCTTCCGGGCAGCGATGATGGAGAGCCAGACCAAGACTGCCCAGAGGCCATCTTTTTCCCGGAGGTGATCAGAGCCTAAGGGAGAAAGAAATATTCTTCTGATGATTCATTCATGTGGGGCAAGTAAAAGCTAAATGAACTAAGAAGACCCGTTAGCAATTGAGTGTTCTATTGACATGGTTGGATACATGTACCCACTGTGTTAAATACATGTCCTGTAATATATTTGCATTTCTGAAAATATGCAGTTGAAGGTTAAATAACAAATTAATAACAAAAAGTAAAATACAATCCTGGAAATTGTTTAATAGATCAAAGAACCAAGTTGACATCACATTAGCCCAATGATATTATTAATCCATTCATTTATTTAGTAAATATTTGGTGTGCCTTACAATATACCAAGCTTTGTTCTATGTCCTGGGGATACAGTGAACAAGATAGCTCTTTACACATAAAGTCTGAATTCAAGTAAGTGGGGACAGGAAAAAGGAAAGTAAAAGCACAAGATGCATCAAATAAGGACAAGTGCTTTGAAGAAAATAAAGGTGGTGATGTTGTCACAGTGTGACAGTAACGAAGGCTGCTTTACTTAAGGTTGAATGGTGACCCCCTGAAACATACATCTACCAGAATCTGTGAACATGACCTTATATGGGAAAATGATCTTTGCAGAGGAAATTAGGTTTGGGATTTTGAAATGAGATCATCCTCAATTATCCAGGTGGGTCCTGAATCCGATAACAAATGTTCTTGTAAGAAGAGGAGAAGACACAGAAGAGGAGAAATACAGAGAAGCATGCTATATAGACAGAGTCATAGGCTGGAGCTATGCTGCCACAAACCAAGGAACACGTGGAGCCACCAGAAACTGAAAGAGGCAAGAAAGGATCCTCCACAAGAGCCTTCAGAGGAAACATGGCCTGGCCAGCACCTTGGTTTTGGACTTCTGGCCCCCAAAAGTATGAGAGAATAATTTCTGTTGTTTTAAGCCACGCTGTGCAGATATGTTTTGGCATTGCTAGGAGACTAATACAGGTCATTAGGGTCAGCCCCACTGAGGTGATGACCTCTGAGCTGACACCTGAGAAGGAGTCAGCCACGCCAAGATCTGGGGTGAAGTGCTCCAGGCCCAGCGACAGCAAATGCAAAGTCCCTAAGAGAGGAGTGAACCGGGGAGCTAAATCCTACGGCTGCTATATAGAAAGAGGTGGAGGCAGTTCTTACTGTGCTCGTTCACACAAACAAAGAGTGCAGTCTAAACAGGAAGCTTCCTATGCAATAACAACCCAGAAGAATGTGTCACAAGCCCCTTTAAGCATCTGTCTGTTGGCCAATTATAAGTTCTCTCCAAAGTGAATAAAGCTCTGAATACAAAGAAATGTGTTATAGTGTGAAATCATGGGAGAAGCGTGGGAAGGCTTGGAATTAGGGTTGAAACCAAATTCTGCTACTTCCCAGGTATGTAAAAAGTTATTGCAAAGTTATTAACCTCTCTGAGCCTCAGCTTCTCATCGGTAAAATGGGGACACCCATTTTGCAGTGTTGTCCCATCAGTTTAATCAAGTTAGGAGGGCAGGCTCCACAGTCAAACGAAGGCTGCTTTACTTAAGGTTGAATGGTGACCCCCTGAAACATACATCTACCAGAATCTGTGAACATGACCTTATATGGGAAAATGATCTTTGCAGAGGAAATTAGGTTTGGGATTTTGAAATGAGATCATCCTCAATTATCCAGGTGGGTCCTGAATCCGATAACAAATGTTCTTGTAAGAAGAGGAGAAGACACAGAAGAGGAGAAATACAGAGAAGCATGCTATATAGACAGAGTCATAGGCTGGAGCTATGCTGCCACAAACCAAGGAACACGTGGAGCCACCAGAAACTGAAAGAGGCAAGAAAGGATCCTCCACAAGAGCCTTCAGAGGAAACATGGCCTGGCCAGCACCTTGGTTTTGGACTTCTGGCCCCCAAAAGTATGAGAGAATAATTTCTGTTGTTTTAAGCCACGCTGTGCAGATATGTTTTGGCATTGCTAGGAGACTAATACAGGTCATTAGGGTCAGCCCCACTGAGGTGATGACCTCTGAGCTGACACCTGAGAAGGAGTCAGCCACGCCAAGATCTGGGGTGAAGTGCTCCAGGCCCAGCGACAGCAAATGCAAAGTCCCTAAGAGAGGAGTGAACCGGGGAGCTAAATCCTACGGCTGCTATATAGAAAGAGGTGGAGGCAGTTCTTACTGTGCTCGTTCACACAAACAAAGAGTGCAGTCTAAACAGGAAGCTTCCTATGCAATAACAACCCAGAAGAATGTGTCACAAGCCCCTTTAAGCATCTGTCTGTTGGCCAATTATAAATTCTCTCCAAAGTGAATAAAGCTCTGAATACAAAGAAATGTGTTATAGTGCGAAATCATGGGAGAAGCGTGGGAAGGCTTGGAATTAGGGTTGAAACCAAATTCTGCTACTTCCCAGGTATGTAAAAAGTTATTGCAAAGTTATTAACCTCTCTGAGCCTCAGCTTCTCATCGGTAAAATGGGGACACCCATTTTGCAGTGTTGTCCCATCAGTTTAATCAAGTTAGGAGGGCAGGCTCCACAGTCAGATTTTTCAATATTCAGATCCAGGCTCAGCTACTTAACTATGTGTGACTTGTACTCATCTGTGACAGAAGGACAATAATAGCCCCTAGTCCACAGAGTTACTGTCAGGATTGAGTAACTAAGTGTACCTAGGTACTCAGGACAGTGACTGGGTTATCACAAGTTGTTGTTGCAGTTCATCTTGTGCTTGGTAAAGCACGTGCACAGTGCTGATTCCTCAATGCACACTTTGAAACAGATTGTTCTCAGTTATTCATATAATTTTATTTTCTGACTCTAGCAATAGTAATGTCTTAAGAAACAAGACTGGGACCATGGGGTGAACCACTTCTTTTTGCAATAGGGCACTGAGATTGGATAGCAGTACTCTTGAGTTTCAGGAATATGAAACATATAGAGGTTCTTCAAAAAGTTCATGAAAACATGTTAATTCTATTTTTGCATGAACTTTTTGAGATGCCCTTGTATATAAAATCAACAAGGGAGACTCAGGGGTACAGATCTATTAAAACCTTGAAAATGGAATGAAATAAAACCATAGTTAAATTAAACATCTTTGATAACTTCTCACTGAGGCTATAGACCATTTACCATTTTTTGTTACATTTACAGTGTTAAATGTTAAGTTTTTTTCCTCAAGAAGGAAAACACACAACCCTGAGAGGGCATTGAAGGTACTTAAGTCAAAAGAAAAGGATTGCATCTGTAGTTCTTCCTGCACACAGATCAATGGTCTCTTGATGACACTGTCAGATGCCTGGTGGTGGGGCCTCTAGGTTAAGAGCACTAATCGTCACACAGGGAGTGACTCTGGTCTCATCCAGAGAATTCTTCACACTGCTACAAAAATGGAAGAAGTTTGAAAGACTCTGGGTTAGCTCCATGGCCAACTGCCAAAAAAACAAGTCTAGGAAACCCTGCCCAGTGGGATCATTTCAAAACCTTTTGTCCTTTTATAGCTGAAAAAAATCACTTTTATTTACTGGCTGGAGAAAAATACCCTTTTGTTTAAAACATGGTCTTAGCATACTTTGGATCTCCAGCTGGATTATATTACCTAGAGATAAAACCATTAGATGCTGTTAAGTCTATGAGATAAGATGTCATAATTTAGTTATACAGAGACATAAAGTTCTTTTAGCTGAATCAAAAAAAAAAAATTCATTTCAATCACCTGTAGCCAATTGCATAGTAAATTGTGAGTTGGCTTGGATATCCTCACCTACAATTCATAAGGGGCAGATGATCAAGTAAAATTAACTGTGCTCTTTATGGTTCTTTGAGGTTGGGATAGAGACATTAATGATGTTGCTGTTACACAGATTGTTGTCCCTGGATGATCATAGTGTGCTTTGGAGGGGGGTTTGGGGACACAACTCTCCTTTTAATAACTCTTTAAGGCAAGTGAACTACAATGACAGTGACAGGTAAATTAAACAAGAAATGCAGGAAACACAAAGGTATTAAATGGTTTTCTAAAACCCCACTATAAACAGTAAAAATGGAGGGGATAAATGTTCACACTGTATATATGACAGGGCTCATAGACTTTATATTTTTAAACACTTTGTAAGTCTATATGAAAAAGAGGAACCAAATAGACAATAGTGTGAAAGGGTATAATCAAGCAATTTTCAAGAGAAAAATACTAATAGTCAAACATTGAGCAAATGCTCAATCTCACTGTGATTAATGGTGCAGCCTCTATGGAAAATGGTATGGCGGTTCCTCAAACAATTGCAGATAAATCTACCATATGACCCAGCTATCCCACTGCTGGGAATATACCCAGACGAACGGAAATCATCAAGTGGAAGGTATACCTGTTCCCCAATGTTCATAGCAGCGCTCTTTACAATAGCTAAGAGTTGAAACCAGCCCAAATGTCCATCATCAGATGAGTGGATATGGAAACTGTGGTATATCCCCCCCCTGGAATACTACTCTGCTGTAAAAAAAGAGTGAAATACTGCCATTTTCAACAACATGGATGGACCTAGAGAGAATTATATTAAGTGAAACTAGCCAGGCACAGAAAGAGAAATATCACATGTTCTCACTTATTGGTGGGAGCTAAAAAATAAATAAATAAATACACAAACAACCAGGGGTGGGGGAGGGAAGAAAACACGACAATTACAATTCCTTGAAGTTAATACGACAAGCAAACAGAAAGGGAATTGTTGGGAGGGAGGGGGGGAGAGGGAGGGGGACCACAATAATCAACCACATCGTATATTGACAAAATAAAATAAAATTAAAAAAAAAAAGAAAAGAAAAGTCCATGTCTGCTCCAAAACCATTAAAGTGCAGACTTGTTTCTTTTAAAACTAATTTATAACCATTTAAGAAGTTTGCACATTAATAATAAAAACAAAAGAATAGAAAAAAAAAAAAAAGGAAAAGTCCGTAAAATGGAATATCATTTGATGCCTGTCAAATTAGCAAAGGTTGGATCGTGAGGGAGAA